ATATGAATGCCGAACACTGGTGAATAAACGGGCCAATATTGGTCCTGGCTTCTTGCCAATACTGGCCCAATATGAATGCCGAACACTGGTGAACAAACGGGCCAATATTGGGCTGTTATAAAATATAAAAATGGGACAATACTGGACCAATTGTCAATATCGAGTATCGGCTATAAAGGTTGGGCCATTGTTGGCCTAGTAGTATTACTGGAAGTCTGTCGGCAATTCCTACATGGGGAGTTGTCTAAACTGGGTCTGTGAAATTCACGCGACTTTAAGTTTGAATATCTCCGCAAAAAGCAATATTGTTTCAATTTCTTTTTTTTTTTATTCGAAAGGTTAAACAATTCTGCGTCGATCGAATAAAACAAATTGAAAAAATCTCCATATTTTAGTCACGTGTCTTTAAAAACGTAACTAAAATATGGTCATGCGACAGGGAAAAGAGGAAAAACAACACATGACTTTACTTTAATCTACGGCCCTAAAATTTTTTTATGGCCTTCAAATATGTCGCGCTAAATTAATACTCTAATAGACACTGGTTTAAAACTTTTGAGTAGATCTCGAAGACCTATATCTGGCACTGGAAGGATTAAGTTTCAAGTTTATCAATAATTGCAGAAAGGGTTGTAAAAATAGGTCGCGGGGAGAGAAAGATCACCAGGTTTTAAATTCATCATTCTGTTTCTTTTGCAAGGATTTTTTCCTCCGCGACGTCAACTTATTACCACCTACGTCAACGTATTACTACCAGTTTTTTTTTTTTTCACGAGAAATTATACATGAAAAAGAAAACACTCCGTACACGCGTAATCGCCGCGCATTACACATTTAGCACATTTGCGCGCTCATCAAATCAAATATGTGCGCACGAAGGCGTTTGAAAACCGCGCCAATAAGGTCAAACGTGTGTCTCTCTCGTTTCGCGCTCGACTTCGTCGATGAACTCGGCCAATAAATTTGCTTAATTGGAAAATGAATACGTTCCCCGGCTACTCTTTCCGAAGTTTTCCCTCTCTCTGTTAACACACTCGTCTATTTTTCTTTCTCTTTTCGCGCGAGTTTTCGCGTCTCCGTTTTTTTTTTCGAGCATCAACTAAGTAATTCGCGCACGAGAACGAAATAAAACACAAATGTGTTTAAAGGGGTGTAAACCTCTGCAACATACATTTCTCTAACCCAAAGTGTTTCGTTGCGGAGATTAATCTCTCTTTTCCATACTGTTTTTTTTTGTTTTTTGTACTGCTTTTTAGTGAAAATTTAAGTGGTCGCAAACTCTCTCTTTCTCTTTTCCCTCCCTCCCCCCTCTCCCTTTTCTCTCATCTCACTTTTTTCATTTTTGATATTTGAGTTGTTAGAGATAATTAAATTCTACAATGAAATGCAATGGAAATGAAATCTACTTTGAAATTAACTAAACAACAAAGTTTGTAATTAAAAAACCAAGTCGAAATCTCTCTCGGTATACGTTTGTGAATAGTGCAACATTGTACATACATACGTATATACACGTTATATATACACGTTATACATTATATATAGCGTACATACGTACTATATATATATATATATATATATATATACATATATATATATATAGTTATTGCGTATATCATTTGTCAGAAAATTTGTCTGCGTTTAATAATACATAGCTACAGATTAATACTGAATACGTGTGTTTATGAATAATGGATGGCATATTATAAACGTGAATTGCCGCAAACTGCTGATAAATTATAGTTTACGTGCAATATTATTTCACCGGCGCATTCATTTTTGAGTAATCTATCTTCATCGGTACATTATTACAGCTTTATTTACATGACATATATTTCGCGGAAGAACAATGAGTGCAATTTGCAGTTGAATCTTTAATAGAAATTGCAAAAGCTGCTTTATACAAGACCATCGCGCCGTAACGTTGTACGCTCGGAAACGATGAGGTCGATACAAAAATAATTTGGTTTAACCAAATTATTTTGCGGAATGTTATTTCTGAACCGCTGGTTTTCGTAATTTGATTTTCGTAACTGTCAGTGTATAAAACAATTATTACGTTCCACCGTGTAAAAGTTACTCGTAATTAATTTACGGCGGTTCGTTCTCATTTTTTTTTTTTTTTTTTTTTTCACCTTTCGAAGAATCGAGAAAAACTTATGTGTTTTCCAATCGCCTGCTTCACTTGATACGTATGTCTATCATCTGAGATTCTATTGAACATAGAATGTTATCCTCGCACTGATTGACGAGTCACGTTAATGAAAACAGTGATTAGATAAATCTGGGACGCAGAGCGAGAGTCGCGCGCAACGCAAACCCATCGAAATTGTATCAGTTTCTTCGCGCAAACTCTTCCCGATCGATTCATCTATTCGTTCATTTTCGAGAAATTGTAAAAAAAAACAACTTGTTGTTACTTAATATTTTCCACAAATTACTTCTCTATTTACTTCGATTGTTGACGTAATTAAAAATCACGAACACACAGTTCAAACTTTTTTACTTAAGAAAGTACGTCCTCTCTCTCTCTCTCTCTCTCTCTCTCTCTCTCTCTCTCTCTCTCTTTCTCTCTCTCTCCAATTAAGAATTTGGTGGCATTTCAACTTTTCCATTCGCTCTTTGGAAAATTGCGGCCGCGGCTTATCTGCGCGGTAAATACGCATTAAGCTGATAGAGCCCCTCGGCTTAATACAATTCCGAGACTATCGAAGGAAATCAGAATCGCGGCGAGAGAGGCCTTGCGGCCTGGCGTGATTAGCAACCAGCCTTGACTTTCGGTAATACCGAGAATAACGCGCAGTTATATAGTTCCCGTACCGGGGACGAATCGGGGCCGGAGGTCGAGACCTTCGGGCGTTCGGGTATTCTCCGTGGAATTCGAAAAATTCAGAACTCGTCCATCGCCACTGTGGTGGTAACCACGATGAGGAAGGGGAGGTAGGTACGAAAAAGAAAGGATATCGTTTATCGTATCGCGAGATATCGGCCGACCGCGCGCGCGCGCGCGAGATACACAGTCGCGTTACACGCCGCGGACGTTACTATTGCGCGAACGTACGTTTTAATTAAAGGGTAAATTCGATTGAAATTGTCTGGCGAAGCGTGGCGGCGGTTCTACTCCCCTTTGTTCTCTTCCCTCCCGCCGCTCTCTGATGTGCCAAATCTCTGTGTGTGTGTGTGTGTGTGTCTATTACGCGAGAGGGGGGTCTTCCACCACACACACGAGCATCGTCGCGTCAGCTCGCCTACCGTGGAAAATGGATTTTAATTTAATTCCCGTGGTACAAAAGCGCGTGCACACCGTATACATCGCACGGACACACAGATACCTCACACGTACTCCCCTTTCCCCTCCACTCTCTTTCTCTCGGGGGTCTACCCGCTTCCCCCCCCCCTGGGTTAACTCGATTACATCGCTCCCCCCTGTTATAAGAGCACTCGCTTCTAGACGCGATGCTCCGTACGTTTGTTCGATGAAAGCGAGAGAAAACGCGGTGGAAGAGAAGATCGGGGGGGTAGAGGGGAGGAGGGAGATTGCGGCAAAAATGATTAGCTCGGAGGCACGGAAAATTAGCGGCGCATCTTGGTACATCAATTGACTGCGAAAACTCTCCCGAAACACACACCACCTGTGTACACACTCTGTTTGTCATTCGACGAACGTGCGCGCGCGCGCGCACGCTTCTTGTTGTTCCATATACATCACGTTTCTCTCGCGGTCATCGATGTATGTATATTACCGTTCTCTCGGTTTTTGTTTGATGTACACAAACGTCGTGTTGTTTGTGAGAAAAATTCATTGACCACTTTCAATCGAGTAAAATGTTTACTTTGATTTGTTCAACGCGGTAACGCGAGTGTATGTAACCAATTTTATTTTTCGATACCTACTTTTTGGAGAGAGAAGATAGGGAACAGAGAAGAGAAATCGGAGCTTCCCACGTAGCTTCGTAGTCTTTTTTTTTTTTTTTTATTTCGCGAATGTGAACGAGAGACACATAGCCACAAAGTTCACGACTATAGACCGGTTTGCGATAACCTATTCTGACATAAGAGCTTAAAAACTCACCGTCATCTCGGCGCAGGAGTGATCGATAAAAGTCAATTCCGATTCCTCGCCGGCCAACAGCACGCTGACGGTCTTCTCGCCGGACTCGTCGTCTGGAACCAAGAAATGCGTGGATATCGCTGCGATGCTTTTACAGTTGTTTAATTAAATTTTGGGGGAAGGGGGGTGGATGAACAAAGTTCAAAAACGAACGGTCACTCGATCGACGAGCGGTAACGACGTTAAAAAAACTCGGTACAACGTCAAGGTTGATATTTTAATGGAGAAATGCGACGCGCGAACATCCCATCGTCCCCATAAGTCGCATAATTATTCACTCCGCGAAGTGCACTTTTGGATTTTAATTTATTCCGGACTTAGGGCACTCGAAAGAGAATGCAAATGGGGTCGAATTCAAATTCTCTCGTCGATCTCATGGGCGACGAGTTTGATTACTCGACGGAAGTCGAAATGATTCTAAAACACGAAGCGCGCTCGAATTTGCTTGCTCGAGAACTCCCCTGAGCTTCTACGCCGCTCGCTCAACGCCCTTCACCGCACTTTTACCGCGGGGGAATCTTCCGGCCAAGTAAATTTAAGCACTATTTATATTGCTCCGCTCGAACAAATAAAATAAAAAAATTAAAAAAAAAAAAACTTACAGAAACAAAGATTGGCGGTATATATATTGTGAAAGCGCCATATGTATAAATCTCCGAACAATCCACAATTATCAGTATTCAAATTAAATTCGATTCGATTGCCGCACATATGTATGAACCAAAAAACACCGCGCTCTCTATTCCGGAACCGTTCGCCATATTTCTCCGGACGTTTTTCCGTGACAGGTCGGGCAAAACAATTACGCGCTCTCTTTCTCTTTTTCTCTCTCTCGCTCCCACTCTCTCTCTCTCTCTCGAAAGAGAGAAAAAGACAGAGAAACATCCGCGCTTGTTTTCGTTCCGGTTTGCTCGATCCCCGGTCTGTGCGGTCTTGTCTCGTTGTTTTGGCTTCTTACAACACACGAAGAGTCGCGTGTCCGCAGTCGATCGATCGGCGACACATCGCGGAGGACGACGGGACCGAAGGACGCCGTTGGATTTTCCGTTGTTGAACGCGATGGCGTAACTCCAGGTCGAGACTCACCGATCGAAGTGTCGTAGGCGTGCAGGTACTCGGAAGTCATGAATTGCGACACCAGCGAGCTCTTGCCGACGGCGGGGGCGCCCAGCATGAGGACGCGATACGGCGCCGGGCCCTGGGACGCGCTGCTCTCCCGCGAGCTCGCCAACGAGCCCGCCGCTGAATTCCGCGCCGATCCCGGATACGAAGCGGTCAGATGCTCCGTGCTGCGTCGAATAGAAGAGAGACTAGGCGCGTATTGAGATTAGCACGGGACACAGCTAACATCGTCAATTTTATATATCAAGGGGAGGGGGAGAGAGAACATAAAACTAATTTGGGCAGAGAGATGTTCGATGAATTAAAATATATACTATATACGCACACGCTCGCTCACTTTTCTTTTGCTGTCGCTCTCGCGCGGATAATGAAAAGATCGAAGCAAAAAAGCGCATAGATCTCACAGATGCGCGTCGGAAAATAAACGAGGAAAACCGCAAATATTTAATCCTGGAATGTTACAACTTGTTTTTTGTTGAAGTCACGACGCTACTGCACGACCGAAGATATATATACATAGTTTGTTTTTTTTTTTAATTGAAAAAATGAAATATATACACTTTTAGTTTTGCATTTGTTTTACTTTTTAGTATGTAAACACGCAAATGTACATGTTATACGTGCGATGTTTCAAAATCAGAGATTTTGTAATAAGAAGAATATAAAATTGTGAAAGCGCGCGTAATATTCCAAGATTAATTGGTTCGTAATCTTGTAAAAGCGCAAGTTTATTTATCGCGATGCTATAAATAAATTTATATATATTGCACGATAAAAGATAAATAATAATTTGTATTGCGTTTGACATCCTGTATAAAACATTCTTTAAATATTTATTATTCGTTAATAGATAAAAAAAAAAAAAAAAAAAATTGAATCATATCCTTCGTGCAATTTTGTATCGTGGTGCACGTTGTGCTCATTTTCTGTCGAGTTTAAGATGAGAGAAAAAAGAGAGAGCGCAGATTAAAGGATAAAATAAATATTTGCAGAGAAATTTTTATATTTCATTTGTATCCGCGTCTCCCCGTTTCCATTAAGAGATACAATATTTTTTCTTTACTGCACTATATATAAACGATTAAAAAAGTTGTCTGTCTATTTCTCTCTCTCTCTCTCTCTTTTTCTGAGAAGAGAAAAATTAAATCTCTAGTTTAGATTCAAGAATTATCTGAATTAAGCAAATATTGCACGCGTTATATCTGACTCGACATCAACTGTCATGTCGAGTAATAAAATATCGGAAAAAATCTCGCGTATCAGAATGTGACTGACTTTTTTCCTCTCTTTTTCTCTTTCTCTCTTTCTCACTCTTCTACGTGATGTTCTAAATAAATAATAAAACCACATGTCGTGCACACACGTACGCGATATATCATCATCGCGCAAGTCTCGCAAGACTCGCGTCGAATTTCAAGACGCACACGTGTGTATTTTTTCTCACAAATATAAAACGTTATTATATATCAGCGGAAATTTCATCAGCTGCTGGTTTACCGCGCCGGGTTCGTAAACTTTTGAATTTTCATCGTTGTTGGAAAGTAGAAATCTTGGAGTAATAGCAAACGTAAATTAAGATTCTCGATTAAACCTTACTCGAATTAACCGAGAACGCGCGCTCCCGGCTTAATTTACCCTTTAACATTTAATATTAAACGCATCCACATAATTATTTTATATATATATATATATATATATATATATGTATGTATGTATACATATATACCTCAGGTTATAAATTTTCGCAGACAAAAGGTCAATTTTGATTTCGCGTCACGGACCAGCGCGCGCGCGCGCTCACCTACTAAATACAAACCTCAGGTCATATTTCATGTAATATATTTGACGGAAAATGTGTATTTCACATGATATTCATTCTTCGGTTACACACACCCACACGCGCGCGCATACATCGCGAAAGAATTTAATAAAGTCATTTGTAAAGAGAGATAGAGAAAAAGAGAGAAAATCGTAACAAGTTTAGCTGCTCTCGCGCGGGAATATTCCATTTTTTGCACCTCGTCGGTGATAAAGAAAAAGTCAAAATCTGTGTAACCAGATTCTGTCACCGCCCACGTGATGGAATCTGAGCGGTCTGAGTCACTTCGCATTTTGATAACTATCTCAAAGCTGAATGCTTCTCCTGTTCCGATTTTCACTCTCAAACGAGAGAACACGAAGGTTTGATTCGTACACACACACACACACACACACATTTTTTTCCACAAGGAAATTAACGTGTATACTATTTAAAAAAATATTCATTCGCAGCGTCTCGATGTACATGTTCGTCACGTTCGATGCTTGAGGACCGCGCTCTAAGGTCCAACGCGCGTGTCTACGTTACTTCAACACACGTAAACTCACGCGTTCGATCTAGAGTGACGGTCCGCGACAACAAGTTCGCACAGACGAAGAAGAAACCCCCGGAGAGATAGACGCCGGAGATATTCCACGGCGCGCTCCTTTCCGAGGCGGACGACGAAAGCGGCGCACGCACTACTCTACTCACTACTCTCGAACGTGTATCGCCCACAGTACTCTCGCGATACATCGGATAATACGAATGTCGATGCGCGATATATTGTACAGTACTGTGGCCCAAAAGTTATCGACGTTCCGTTAATGAAAACGTATTTTCCTCGTCGATTTTCCGGCGCGTAATATAAAATCTATATCCCTCCTTCTCTTCTCTCTCTCTCTCTCTGCTTAAATGTAACGAAGAGAAATTTGCACAGTGCGCACAGAGCGCGGCCGCGACGTTTCCAGAGACGATGACAACAGTCACGCGAATACATAGCAATTTGCCGCACTGATACGAGTCGGTGAGTATGATAACGGACTCGCAAACACACACGTACACACACATGAGTATACGTACACGGGAAATATACAGCGTTCCGAATTGTAAGGTATAGTCGTAAACATAAAAAAAAAAAAAAGGAGGGTTGAGATATGTTTTCTCTTAATAATGTTTCTCGGAATGGGAATGCTCGCAAGAGATTCATCCATTCACGGGAATATATATTCGCAAATATAAACCAAACTCGCGTTTCGGTCCACTTCGAAACTCGTATAAAAAAAAAAAAAAATTATCTGTTTTATTTTCGTTCGCTATATTTGTTTCAATAAGGGCGGACGCGAAATATATTCGACATCGAAAACTGCGATTACACGCGGTGTCGTTCGCGAATGTTAAATATTTCTCGCGTCTGCTGTGAAAACATAGACTGAGCGCGCGCGGTTTATTTAAGCGTATTTTAAAGAGATACGAGGGAACTAACGTATCTCTCGGAGGTATCATCCTCCGTATCGTTGAACAACCTGAGAGCTTACCTCGAGTTGCTGGACGCTACGCTGTTGTTGGAACGCGATCTGCGACTCTTGAGGGAATCGCCCCGATTCACCACCCCCTTGCCGGTAATGCTGAAGTGCCGCAGTCTGTAGTATTCCTCTTCTACTCCGGTATTGGGCATACTCGCCACCCGCGATCTCTGTTGTGGAAGGCACAGGTAATTCGGTCGGCCAGAAGAGCGACTGCCGGGGGCCTTCACCGATTGCGAGCGGCTGTGATGAGGACTTCCGTATCTGCAACAGCCCCCCCCCCGCTCGAACGTCATAATCCGCGAATGATACGCGACGTGAGGTAGACGTTCGAAAGGACAGGTCAATATACTTCAATGTAAACGCGGTCGAGAGAGAGAGAGAGAGATAGAGAGAGATAGAGAGAGACAGCTGACGTTTCAGAAAAATCGCGGAAAACCAATATAACAAATATTTAATAAAAAAAAAAAAAAGAAAAATATCCTAAAAATAGTTAAAAACAAAAACAAAAAAAAAAAACAATTAGAACCGTGCAATATATGGCACGTTGACAGTTGCGAGTGGAGAAAAAAATTTATCGCGTAACAACAAGACTTTAAATTTCAGATAAAATGTTTCTTGACAATATATCGAAGAAAAAGGAAGGCGTATTTTTTTTCTAACTTTCGTAAAACCGCGCGTTTGTTCGGAAATCTTGAATATTAAAAGGCGGCTTCGTTGTTTGTGAAACGCATAATGCCTCCTTCTGTCTTTTTATTCGATCAATATATGGCTGCACAGCTTCTCGAGATTGCACACATGGTCTCTCATCCAAGTTTTTTTCCTTCGCTCGCAGCGTCTGACGTTATCTTCCGAAGTATGGATTTTCCTTTCCTGCTCTCTCCCTATCTCTCTATCTTTGTGTAAGTCCGTAAATATTGAATATCCCTGGCTATAAAAACTTTCGACAAGATTTCCAAGTTTTCTCTCAACTGCGCGAGATCGAGAGCGTATCGAATTAAAATACATATGAAAGAAACGATGTTTATAAAAGTTTGCAGCAGTTCTCTCGAAACGGTTCAATAACTTTTTAATATATTAAAACTCTTCGATTGTATGTACATATCGCCGACTTTTCTCGACGCCTTTCTTTCGAAATGGATTTCTCTATTAGAAGTATTGCAAGGAAAATGATCTTATATCGCTGAAAAATCGACAAGAAAAGAATTGCAATTATATTTCCACCGGTTCTCTCTCTCTCCTGAGAAATTTTATCTCCGTGACACACAAGAAACGTATTACGCATCAATAATTTTGCGACAATTTATTATATCCCCGTTATCATTATTACTCATCGGTCATATACACCCACTCCATCGTTTATTCGGTCTTACAGAATCTACGACGTATATTACCGATATGTATAATAATATATATATAATAATGTTATATATAATAATAATATACATATATACGTGTGTATCGCGCGCGCGTGGTGTGATATATCGTAAATTGTTTATCGACTAAACGAGAAACCGTCGAGAATAACGGTATTAATAATAATAATAATGTGTCAATCGATGCATATTCGCTCTCTCTCCCTATCTCTCTCTCTCTCTTTCTCTCTCTCACCTCATCTCGAAATCGTGTATCTCCTGCAGAGTAAGGGTGTTGGCGACGTCGAGTAGCTGCCTCATGTTTTCTTCTCGACGTCTCGCGTCGGCGTCCGGATGCAGCAAAATCGTGGCCGCGGGCGCGTCCAACGACAGAGACGGCTGTTGCACCACGATCGTCGCCTGGGTCGATCGCTTGCCGCTGCCGCCGGCACTTCCGCCTTTCGGAAAATAAAAAGTTCAACCGTCCGTTATCAACTGTTCCCGTGTATCTTCCGAGCTCGCGCGTATCACGAGTCGGCGGAGAACGAAGTACGTTCCCGTTCGCGTTCCCGTGTTCCCTTCTCGTTGTGTACCGTCACTTTTCGCGGCCCTTGGCCTCGTTCCCCCACCCCCCTCCCTCGTTTTTCTCGGGCAAAATTGCCGAAAGGGTGCGCATTACGCGAGAGATGCGTGTCTGACGACGATACGTCTGTGATTATCTCTCACGGAACCGCCGTCGCGGTAAATCATGTCGACGATCGTAAAAAAACGTCGCGAAGCGCTTCAACGGTAATTACAGCGGACAACGTACGTCTCGAGTTTTCTTTTAAGATGTAACCCACTCGCTTTTTCGGAATTTTTTCTTTTCTCTCTGTTTTAGAAAAGCAAAACATTGAAACCTTCCGCACGAATTACACTTTGGTAAATTATTATCACTTTACAATAAAAATCGTAGGGACATTTAATCTGATGGAACAAAAACAAATTCGTATCTCAGTAACGCCCGAGCGGTGTGTGATTTCAATTAAAAACAACGGGAAGATTTTAAATCAGATTTTAATACCTATACGCGCGTATATACACGCACACACATAACTTATCTGAAAAACTCAGCGCATTTGATTCACGGACGGTTATATGCTTTGTAAACTTTTTTCATCTCGTGACCGTTCTCGCCGCGTAGTAATTTTTAGCGTAGGTCGACGACGAGAAGATATCTAAGACGCGCAAAATCCCTCGTTTAAACAAAAGTTTCCGCAATCTGCAAACTCTCGAGTCGCGCGCGATTGCAATTACCGGGGATTCCATCCGGCGTGCGCGCGCGCGCGCGCGCGCGTTAGCGACGTGACAGACGGAATAATAACGCAGGGATTGCGAGAGAAATAAAGTGAGAATGACGACGGCGGTCCCGAGCACACTTGACGGTGTGTGTATGTGTGTTCTTCGGTGAATAGAAACAGACAGAGATAGATAACAACTAAGCGTGAATTTCGATAGCAGGAATCGCAAAGCGGCATTCCCCAATGTATACAATTTTTCTCTCTCGCGCTTCTGATAATCGGCGCGATCGTAATAATAAAAGAGAAAATTGCGAGAAAATTGCGAGAAAATTGCGTCGTGTGTCTCGCGAATCGAAATTATATTAATCTCGAAGGTTTCAAAAGTTTGGTGCGATATGTTACAAAGCGCGCGACAATGATCGATCGCGCGCTCGATTTGACAAAACCAACAACAACAACAACGTTCACGAAGCGAAACGTGTATAATACATTTATCGAGAAAATTAGTTTCCGCGAAATTTAAATACAGACTTCAATTCCTGATATCGCGGCATTGTGTCGTCTTTGTTACACTAATTAATCTATAATATATAGAGGTATAATATATATATATATATATATATAAATCTATTTATCTATATATATATATATATATATATATATGTATATACGTATATCTACCAACTCCACACATGTGATCACATGTAAACTACACAAGAAAGCAGAGATATACGGAGGAGGTAGAAGTTTTCGAGTTAATTTGCATTTATATGCAAAATCCGTACAACAAAGCGCAAAAAAAAAAAGAACAACTTCTTAAATATAAAGTTTAATATAACGTGCAAAGAAAGCACGAGCATTGTGGAAAATTTTTGTAATGTAACACGGTACACGTTGCACGTTTTCTACCTCCTACCTTCGCGAATCGTTTCCATAAATATTAAATAAAGTTAATGAAGGTTTAAGAGCTGCTAAAGATCTTGTTCCAAGAAAAAAAGAGACGAATTATTTAAACCTTCGTTAATTTTACCTAATGTTTATAAAAACGTTTCCGCACGGTGGGATCACACCAAGCCAGATCAATGTTTTGTTTTGCTCTTTTTGTTTTTCTTTTTTTTTCTTTTTTTTTTTAATTTGTCGTTCGGTAATACGGATTTTCAATTAAGCCGATCGAAGCTAGGCGAAATTTTCTCTCATTATCAGTTGTGTATATACGAGCGCCGATTACCGCGTCGCAGACTTTCGCGGGACAACGAGCGCGCGCGAGCGAGCGATTAACATTCAAGAACACGTCGGCATTTTTTCGCGTCTCTCACGGGAATGAACTTTCGTTCAAGGACGTAATATCTATTCTTGTGTTCTTTTTTTTTTTTTTTTTTTTTTCATTCTCCCTCCTTTTCCCACTTACGGGGTCGATAAACGTCGTAGCTGCTCGTTGCCCCGAAATCTGAAATCCGCGCGAAGAAGAGACGCAGAAGCGTGTGTATTTGTGTGTGTTTGTACGTGTATGTATGCATGTATGTATGTGTTTACGATCGACAACGCAGATAGAGGAGAGGGCGGACACGCTTTGCGAAGGCAAAAAGAGATATGGTGAACAAAACAAAAGAAGCACAAAGCGCATTCGCATAGTCGCATATATGTGTGTGTACTATACATACTGTATCCACCATGTACCTTAACTTGTAAAACACCAAGAGTGAGCGGGAGCGGCCGCCGAAAGAGATCGGAAAAAAAAAAAAGCGCGATTGCGTTAATCATTGTGTTATCATTGTTATCCGTCATAGATTTCTTTCACGCGCGCGTATCTCCTCGACGGCCGTCCCACGCTTATGTGCGTATGTGTGGATACGAGAATGTCTATATTCATCTATTTGCCGACTATGTAATACCTATTGCGCAAAACGGGAAAAAGAGCCTGACCCATGAATGAATGGCTGAAACGAGTGGATGAGATTCTGAAAGAAAAGAACATCAATTCATTTCCTTAAAGGTACCATCCATTTCTCTTGTCTGCTCTCGTCTCTCTCCTCTCTCTTTCTCTCTATCTATCTCTCGATTTCTCTCTCTCTCTCTCTCTCCCCTTTTCTCTCTCTTTCTCTCGTGCACACACGAGAGTTCGATTACCGTCCGATGTCAATTAAAGCACATCTATATGACCCTCTGCCCGGTTAATCAAACTTGGCTCCATCTGTGCCGCGAGTGTCTTTGAAAACTTCTTGCGAAAGTGACACAGAAAGAGAAAGAGAAAGAGAGAGAGAGAGAGAGAGAGAGAGATAAATCCAAAGCGAGGCAATTTAGATCTCGAGATCAATCAAAACGCACCGGTAATTTGTTATCAATGACGAAATTAATAGCTGCGTTGCTTCCAACTGCGGAGTTTTCGTATATTGGATTACTTAGCGATGGATCACGAAGAGCTTTTGCGTTTTAGCGCGCGGTTTTTACGAGAGCGATATATTATAAGAGACTAGACTATAAGCGCCGCGCGTATATATCGTATATACGAGATAAGAAATTCTATAACCTCCGTGCCGCGATCTATGTAGAGGCAATAAAAATGTTACTATCTCGAGCGACTCCACGGGCGCAGTGTCGGTCGATAGCCTTAGTTAAACAGCTCCGGTTAGTCCGATTGACAGCCTTGACTTAGGGATAGAAGAGTGAGGGAGAAAGAATGGAAATCAGTAACTACCACTACTCGCAGTCGGACACGCTAGTCCAAGGTTGACCGGTTGGCCGCTTTTCAATTTGTAATGATATAACCGCGAGCGAGCGAAACGATCGATCTCCATTAGGCGGATCCAAGTTCATCAGGTTGATTACCGCGGTCAGTACCGAATTGGACCCAATGCGTGCTGCGAAATTGGAACGGAGAAAGAGAGAGAGAGAAAGAGAGAGAATTTCAGACCGAGAGTAAACAAGAGAAAGAGAGAAACACTCACGCCTCGAAATTAATAGAACAACAATGGAGGGGAAGGAAAGGCGAAATGGCGAGTGCGCGAGAATTTGGACCTTTCGTCTTTTTTTTTCTTTTTTTTTTTTTTTTATCGTATTAACGAGAGTCGACGACGTGCTTCCGTCGCTGTCGTGGTTTTGATGCCACAAAACCTCTCGACGTCTAATTTAAGCGACTACGTGGTTTACCGCGACGTGTGATTCTTCTCTCCATTCTATCGCGGCGAGCAAATAAGGGTGGGAAGACAAACATCTCGAGACACCTTACCCGTCGATCGTCCCCGTGATTTCGCACCCGCGCTGCTCTGGGCGTTGCACCCCTGACTGTTGCACGGTTGGGTCGCTCCTATGAGCGATATGTCGAGCGGATTGGTCGTCACATTGATGTTGGGCCTCTTCTGGCTTCGCTTCAGCTCGCTCTTCTCCAACACGTTCGGCTGACTCGAGTTGACCTTTCCGCCGGTCGTGTAATCGATCTGATAACCCCCCCTGGTGTTCTGCTTTTCCTGGGTGGACACCAGGTTGCGAATCGACGATCGCGTGTCGATCGAATCGGGCTGACCCGCGTCCACCGAGCCCCTCACGGGTGTGCTAAACGTTCGAGCGGAGACTCTGTGTGTATAGGTATCGTCGCGATTATACACGCGAGAGGCAGCGATTGACGAATTTATAGCCCCGTGTCGGAAACGCGTCCCTCCCCCCCTTCTCCCCCCAAACTCCGTTTTTCGCTGTCGCCTGGGAATGAAATTTGGGGCAGAGGGTCACAATCCGACGGAGTGCTACGGAATCGTAACTTTAACGCGCGCGAACTTTGTGTTTACTCCGCAGGGAGAGAGGAGGAAAGAAGATATAAATCGAATAGAGAGGAGAAGCGCAAATTTTTTTCCAGAAGAAACCGCAACCTCAACCGAGGCGGTAATTTTTAATCAAGAAATTGTTACGCGAGGCAACTTTCAGAAAAGAGAAGAAAAACTGCGTAGTAGATTACGTAGTTATGCATGCTCTATTAATGAAGATTGCGTTCTTCGAAATTTTCTAGTTTTTTGTTTTTGAAGTTTCGAAATAATGAATATATTGAATCTTCGCTATATCGTTTATTTTTAAAATTTGCAAAATTTTCTTATAAAAAACAACGTCTTTCAGAGACGGACTTTCGATATCTCTCGTTTCGATATGTCTGTATACGCTCCCTTTCCTCGCTTTATAACGTCGATCTAAATAAACGAAGAAGAGAGCGCGGATAGGACAAATTCTACGCTCGTAAAACCCATCTTTCAACGCGGTGAGACGTCGTCGCGCTCGCTGCCTCTCTCGTCTGATCACCCATTCACCGAAGTCCCATTCACAACGCCGTGTGATAAGAGGTCAATGTAGTTTACCTGAAGAAATCCGCAGCTCGAAGATCCGGAAGAGGTGGGGTTCTGCCGCTGCCGCCGAACGTGAATCTCGAATCCTGATGCGAACCAACTATCGGGGTGGGCGGCGGAAGCGCCGTCGCGACCTCGTTGCTGCTCGTTGACGCGTTGTGTCCTTGATTGGCTGAGGTCGTCGCTTTGTGATTACCGTCGGGTTGACCGGAGTCGAGTCTCGATCGTCGACTGGACGACGGTCCGGCGGCGGTGTCGGCGCCGTCAAATCCGCACAACGGTGACGTCGGCGACGACGCGGTCGGCAACGGCGGCGTGGTTTGATTGCCCGCGACAGAAATCGGCGACGTGGGTGACGCCGACGGCGAGGACGTGCGGCTGTTCACGACCGCGTCATCGTTGTGTCCCAGGTGGCCGGACGACGGTGGCTGCGACGACGAAGTCGTAGGGGGAGGCGACATCTCGGCCGGCACGTCGATTAGATCGAAGCTGTCGTCCGGCTGCTCCCCGTCCGTCGTCGTCACCTAGAAGAACGGGGAAAAAGATATTGCGCATCGTATTATATTTTATGTACACACAGCCGGTTGATAGTTAGTTATCTCTTATACGCCTCGTTCGCGTGGTGGGATTTGCATAAAAGTGCACGGTGCGAGGTGTCAGGTGGGGATCGATCGCGACATTTCGTGTCCGGAACGATTTTTCCCGAAAATACCTCGAGACATAAATAGTTTTTCTATTACGAGTAATGGAACGAGGGAATCGATCCCAGCGGATTCACTTTCGGAAGATATACGGACGGACAAGATTATTTCTCATCTGAGTGTGTGGAGAAATCGGAAGTTCTTCGATTTGGGATTTTCAGTCCCGATGAGCGAATAAAAGTATAATGTTGTAAATATCGGATTTTACAGCGGGCGCGTTATAAATTTTCTTGGATATAATTACGATAAGATATATTTATAACGTCGATTCTCTCCCGCTTCGTCACGGGAGCTCGTTATTGAACTTGACGTAACACAATTTCCCGAGTTGCGAAACACTTCGTAAACCGATTCAGAAATTTCGAGTATCTTAGCATTTGTGTGTGTGTGTGTGTGTATTTTTGCTTTTCACTTGGCTACTCTCTTCGCGCACAAAGTGTTGATATTTTCAAGTTTGTTGATATTTTTTCCTCTCGTCAAATTACAACAGAACAATCGAGTTATCTGTGTTAGCAAAAAAAAACACAAATAGAATCGAAAAAATAGGTACAGGAAATAAAAAAAAAAAAAAAAAGAGAAATATTATTTATCTTTAAAACGAGAAAAAAGAGAGAGATGTTAATTCGTATCTCCGCGTGGATACGGACACAAAAATCACTTCCCTCAATTTAACGAGAACCAAGAAAAAGAGCCCGCGGAGCTCTCATAAAAATTCCTTGACGGGCGCATATTTTGTTAATTCATTTGAAATTAATTTTTCTCGAGCGTCACGCACACACGGGCGAAGAGCCGTTGTGCTACGGGGATTCGCACGTTTGCCTTCGTGTCTGACTGAAATATGAATAGAGAGCACGCGAAACACATGCTCCCACATTAAATCCCGACACGAAGATAGAGTACACACGCGCGCGCGCGTTCTCGGTGTGAGTGGATTTGTTAAACAACATGTAAGCACACACATCGAATATACATCACGTTCTATCGATATCAGCGCGCGCGTTCGTTCACCGACTTTGTTTGTTCTTTGGTGTATTATCGAGGCACGCGCGCTTCATCAATTATTACGTATGTAATTAACATTTGATACCTGCACGTGGTTGTGAATTATTTTGCTGCCTGACTTTACGCGCGCACTGGTTCGTAACGTAGTGTTGGAAGGTCCACACGCCGCCGATGTAAACACTAATATTAATGCCGAACTTGTTGTTTGGCCGTTTATGGCGCACGTACACGTATATGACTCTCTTATGGAATTAATAAATGATAGGCAATATACACACACACACACACACATACACACACGCACACTTAATTCGATAAACAACCAGACAAGAAAATACCAAGCGGAACGCGTAAATTTTAATTTCCGATATTAATCTCTATCTTGAGTTTAATTACCGTTTCTAATTTTGTATTTCCTCGCGCCCCTTTTAATTAGAACAATATTTGTCCGGAATGATGTTTACGGTTCTCGTCCGGCGTGCGTTTAAATTTATACGCAAGTTACGGCAATTATGTCGGCATGCGCCGCCCACGTAACGAGGGGAGAGGGAAAAGAGGAGGAGAAATTTACACGGGCGCCCGAACACACACGACTGTAAAACGCCGCGGTACTTTTGTATGTTACGTATGTATATATATAGTATATACGCACCATGGTGAGCATCGTGTTGGCGCTGTCGGTGCTTGTGTTGATCGTGGTCTCGGACGCGGTGCTCGAGCCCATGACCACGACTTTCGGCACCGTGCGGCAGCTGCGGCTGCCGCCGGCCGCCTTGAAGTTGAATCGCCGGATCGCGGACGACAGAAGGTCGCCGTCCCGTCCGCTGTCAACCGCCCCATGTTGACCCCGCGCTGGCTGCGACTGCGACGTATCCCCCGTTTCACACGCGTTACTCCCCAAACTGCCACATCTGGTTGCCGACTCGCGATTCCTCGCGCACCCCTGAAACAAATTGTGGACTCGCGCGTGACATTCCGCTCGGAACGACTCTCCTGGGAGAAAGGATTTATATAGATACATATATATATATATATGTATATTAAAGACCGAGAGGGAGCAATTCTCGTGGCTTCTTAGTATTCCGAGTCGTCGCGATCTAATATCGCGATTACCATTGAATAATTCATTCGGGTGCGTTCGATAATTATGTTCGCTTTTCACAGTCGGTGATTAACCTCGATTTTATTCGAAAGAGCAAGTTATTACAGCGTTTGTGTGATTCTCATACAAACGAGAGAGAGAGAGAGAAAACAATTGTCGTATTTTATCTTCCACGCCTCGAAGGAATACGCGGAATAAAAATTGCCACATTTTATTTAATCGTCGAAAGAGAAAGCACGATACAAAAAACAGACACGTATAAAATACATTTCGTCTTAGAACGAACGTCAAAAAAAAAACAAAAAACAAAACATTTGGAAAAAAGTCCATGCCCGTTCGTCGATTCGTCGAAATCGAAATCGACGAACGTAATCGCAGAAAATCGCCAAAAAACGCGCGAAGAAGAAAAATGGATTTTAAATTCGCTTACTTGAGCCTTGTGTTCCGGGGTGGACGGTGGATTCGGTGTGTTCGGCAGCGAGCCCCCCGCAGGGGTACAGTGCCGCAGTCGCGCCAGGGCCGTGCGAAGCCCCTCCGTCACGAGGCCCTTTTATTGCTTCGGCTTCTCCTCGCCACCGCCCCCCGCGCCTCGTCTCACCACCTCGTCGAGCGTTGTTGCCCGCTTTGTGCGGGACTCGCCCCGTAATTCCTCGGCCGCGCCCTCGAGATCCGTTCTATTCCGCGCGTATTCGCAACAGAAATGACGATCGCCCCCGGTGGTGGTCGGGAAATCAGCCGTCTTGCTGCGTCGTGACGCTGATTGTGCCGCGCGCCGCTTGTCGGTCGCTACATTCACCATCTCACAGCGATCCGCGCACGCAGCGATCTCCTCCTGACGTCCTTATTTGTCCCTTATTTGTCTTCTCCGCGCCGTCTGAAAATTAAAAACGCGTAACCGGAATGTCATCTCCACTGAGTATTGCCGAGTAAACAAAAATCGCGACGATCGATTGATCGGTTGTGCGATTAGTAAATGACGAAATGACTTTTGCGCTCTGAGCGAAAGTCGTGACAACAAAATCGATCGTGTTAAAAATTGTCAGTCATCAATCATTCAATAGAAAACAATCGCGTCTTCTTGTGACCAACCCGAGAAATTAATGAAATTAAAAAAAAAAGTATTAAAAAAGTATTTAAAAAAAATTACTAGTATTGTTATGAACTAATTTGGATGACATTCACACACACACACACACACACATACCACACGTATGTGGTGTAGAAAGCAAAGTTTGTACTTTGTGCTGAAAATTACGAAGCGACAGCTTCGTATTCACGTTAAGGTAGGTTTAAACACACACAATGTGTGTACATACAAGAGATATTCATCCGGCGCATTTCCCGCTCTGTTTACAGCGCGTCGATGTGCCGCGCGCGTATTACACGTTACTCCCCTCCGTTCATCCGTGAAACATTCGAAGGGCAAGGCGACGGTCATTTACTGACGATCAACCGTCAAAGTAATTACTTTACTTCGAACTTGTCCGAAGAAGACCTGCCCTTCCCTTCCGCCCTCGGGGTGCGGAATGATAACGATTTCTTGTGTCTGCTGACTCGGCAGAGAGCGCACGTCAAACGAGAAACCCCTCGTGAGAAACGGTGTGAGCCCGTTGAGCACGTTTTCTCTCGCAAAACTCGCGAGTTCTTGGCGATATATACTTCACGGACTTCTCTCGTGTGTCGGCGAACGTCAAAGTTCCAACGTACGACGCGAAACAACAACGCGGCGCGGCGCGGCGCGTGTTGCCCGAGTTATACTAGCCGGAGTTTCCATTTTAGATTCGCATCAGAATCGGAGGGGAGAGCTCTCGCGGTTAGGTGTACACGCGAGACTGCTTCGCCGCGGCGTTTAGTATTTACCGTGTCGGAAACAGGCGGTTGCAAAAAGTTTTCTATTAAACGATCTCCCGACAAAACAGCGAGTCGCGTGCGTGCGCGCGCGCGGTAAATAAGTAATTTAAATTCAATTTATTAGAGAGATGATCCTCTGAGATATTTTTTTTTCTCACTCGCTCGCGAGTCAACGCGCTCGGAAAAAAATGTTGCTCTCGAAATAAATATCTTTGTCGCGTCGCCGCGGCACAAAAAAAAAAATGATATTTTCGAGTGTGAACTTGAGTTTTCTCCCGCACAAAACTCCCTTCTGTGTTTTATACGCCCGAATATATAAACGTCGCTCTTTGTTGTTTCTGCGCACGTTGTTTGTTCGCGTATGCGTCGAATCTTCAATTTTTTCTCAAGAGATATGCGTTTACTACGTGCTGTTAAAAAAAAAAAAAAGAAAAAATCGCATCGAGAGCGCTGTCGTGTCACCACGTGCGTTCTTCTTCGCGGAAGAAGCCATTATTGTATGTATAAGCGCGCGCTAAACAGCCCCCGTTATCTCGCGTTATCACCTATTAATCCCTTTCGTGTAAACGATGGTTGCGTTACTTTGTCGCGACACGTTCTCTCGAAGCATCGCCAACTCTCTTCGCTTCGCAACACCGCCAAGGGAAGGTTTCTGCAAAATTCCAAACCGCGTCTCTGTGAGAGAAACGGCGCACAAAGAGACGAGATAAGGGAGCGGAACAAAAGGAGCTACACACAAAACGAGAAGCGCGCGCTCGCGTACATATATTATCTCTCTCTTTCTCTTTCTATCCTTGTATCTCACACACACACACACACATACACACAACTCATTTCGAGTTTTACGAGTTTCCGTTTGTAGCGACGAGAATCCGATTTTACAACCTCTAATTTCAATTTTGCCGCTCCCGCCGCGGATTTAACGCGGGGGTTGTTTTTGACGCGCGAGAAATCTCGAGACGCGAAATTGCGACGACGCGCGCGTCTCGAAAAAAAAAAAAAAAAAGATAAAAAAAAATCGCGCTCGTAAATCAGTCGCGGACGAGGCGCGTATTAAGCTCATAAATTGGGCGAAGAGAAGAGCGCATTCTCGTTAACCCCGTCCATTGAGAAAATGGCGAGCGTCATCGCAAATTTCCGCTTAAGTTGAAGACGCGAGGCGCGGATCCGCCTCGCGTCTTCAAGCTTGCCGAGAGATCGCGCGCGGCTGAATTTATTATCCACCGGCGTCCTTCCACTAAGTTATCTCGATGGTAAGCATCCGCGCCTTTCCCTTTCCCCCCTCTCTCCATTTTGCAGTCGCTAAACGGAGCCGAATAACGAAAAAGCTTGTTCACACACGGCGGGCTTACAAAATATTAAGTCCGCGAGGCGGGGATCGATTTCGCAGAGCTTTACAACAAAATTACGACGCATTTTTCACGCGACACTCGCACGGGACGCGGCGAAAAATACGTGTGTTTCGAATCCGCGTGAAAAATATCGTAAACAAGCGAGGATTAGATATTCTTCGCGTGGCGAAGAATATCGCGCCGAGCGATAAAGAAAAACAACAACACGCGCGATAACAATGTCAAAATCGCTTTACCGCGATATTCCAAAAAGAATAGCGCTCGCGAGTTTGATGTTGCGCGACCGGAAATTGTGTTTGTTATTATTTTACAAAAAAGCTTTCATCAAGTTCTTTTTTCATCGCACAACGAAATCTGTCGCGCGAAGCTCCCGCGAGAAGAAACAATTGACCCGAGACTGCGCTTCGAGATTGTCTCGGCAAATTACTCTCCGGAAACCGCATTGGATTCAATTTTCCGTGTCAAAATACTTGGCGAAATTAACGAGCGCTGCGTCGTATATTTTTTTTCTTTTCTTTTTTTTTTTTTTTTTTTTTTGTATATTTTTCGTTACACGTGTATCGATGCGCGCGCGTATTTGATTTTGCAATACAACCGGTGCAGCAGCGAGTGTTCATTGAACGCGGTCATCAGCGCGCGGAAATATTTTCAACGCCATTTGTCAAATAAACGATGAATTAGCTTTTCCGGCTATTACGGTCGCACGGACACTCCTGGCTGGTTGTTGCTGTACGCGCGCGTAACACACGCAACCGCATCCACACAATTGCGCATCCCCCACATTCGGGTCGGGAGTAAACGTATCGATTAATTACAATACGGTCGCGTATTCTCGCGCGACACGAGATTTCTCGTCGTCGTTAATATCAGCGCCGAGAACTGACGACGCGCACCGAAGCGTGACATCGAAGGTGAAAATCGTCAGTCGCGAAGAGGAAGGTTGCGAGCGCCGCGCGATCTTTTGAAAAAAAAAAAAAAAAAACGCGTACTTTGTTATAACATCAGTTACAAAAAAAGAATATCAAATTCGTTCGGAAAATGAACGTTAGCTTGGATAGATCCGATTACTCGCGCAAATCTCCACTTTTCGCAATTTCAGAAAACGTGTAATAATTTAGTTCGAGTAAAAGTACCTACCCTATAAAAATCGGAAAAATTGGCATATCCGAAATAATATACTCGTACGTTTATATATAATTCGAATTCCATTAAACTTCGTCCATGTAATAATTCAAAACGCGTAAAAGCGACTTAACCAGCCACTTTGTATTGGCCCTACTCCATACGAATCGGCATTCAAATGTTATCGGAAAATCATTGCGGCGATAATATCATGTCGAATATAATAAACGAGAGTTGTAGGACACACGCAAGTTAATCGAATTTCGCGCACGATGTGCGGAATTTATTCCATTGTCT